CTCCCACAACAAAGAATTATCTGGACTAAAATGTCTATAAGGTGGAGGCAGAGAAATCCTATAGTAAATCTATTGTTTAAGCTTTAAATCTTTGAAGATCTGGGCTTTTGAAGTAATAATTTTTTAAAAAGCATTTTAATCTGATTTTCTGTTGTTTTATTGCCATCCTTAGGGCATGAAAGCAGAAGGTCTGTTTGATCAGGGAAGGGTAGGGAGCAGAAGGAAATAACAAAAGACACATTAGTTGAGTATCACATAGCAATGAAACTGAATGAGCCATAGACACACACAAAACCCAACCACAAAATAATGTTGAATGAAAGAGTATATACAATATGATTTCACGTATATAAAGTTCAAAAAGAAGCAAAAATATTTTATTGGGATATTCACAGCTGGATGGTAACAATATAAAGGAAAGCAAGGATATTATTGCCACAAAATTCAGGGTGATAATTATCTCTGGGGTGGAAAGGTGAAAGGAAAATGTGATGGAAAAAGGATACCAAGTGAGGTTCAAAGGTACGAGTGGTGTTCTATTTCTTGTTTCTTTTAAACACTGCATTTTTGTTTTATAAGATTTTATGTATGCTTCACAATTAAAACCAACCCAACCACATTAGTCAGAATTCAGAAATCTTACCCTTCCAGAACAGAAAAAGTACATAAATGGAAAAATAGGTGAATTTCAAACAAAAGCTGGGTTTCAGTTAATAGTAATGTACCAATGATAATGTCACAGTTTTGATGCCTATACTATACTAATGTAAAACGTTAGCAATCAAGGAAATTGGGTGAGAGATATACGGGGTCTTTCTGAACTCTTTGCAACTTTTCTATTAATCTAAAATTAGTTCAAAATAAAATGTCGACTTAAAACAGATCTCATGCTAATATTTATAGATCTTTCTCTAATTCCTGATCTTTCTTTCAGTTTTTACTGATTTTCTTTTGATGATATGAATAACAATGAACATAATAAGAGCTAATACTTGCAAAGCACTTATTTTGTGTAAGCCACTGCTCTAAGTACTTCATACATGTTCACTCATTTTATCCTGACAGGATTCCAACAGTTAAATGTTATTACTATCCCCAGTTTACTGATGAGGAAATAGAGACATGGAGAGAACTGTGTGCAGTGACTAGCCCAGCTGGTAGGTGGCAAAGAGGGAAAAACACCAGTACAGCCGCAATCTGGCTCCAGCACTCGTGCTCATAATACACTGTGGTTACTTTACTGAGGGTTTCAGAAGTATGAGAAGTACAAGGAGACAAACAAAACCACAGCCGCTCAGATGCAACCACGATTTACACTATAGCATGTTTCCTTCTTCCCTTTTTTCTCTGTTTGTTTTCATTTGGTATATACAAATTTGTAGCTTGATTTTCTTCTTACTCCAAACATCATGTCAAAAGCCTTTTTCATGCCTCTAACAATCTAAAGTAAACATTAAAGGCTATGCAATATTCTGTGTACAGATATGCAGTGTTTTACCACCCGTATCTGGAATGCTGGGCATTTAGGTTGTTTCTAATTTCTTTGTCATTAGATACAAAGCTGCCATGAACATCCCCATTCTTAATTTATGCCTATATTTTGATCATTTGCTCAATTTCTTCTTTTTTGTCACTTACTTTTTTCTGTTTTTCTTACCCTTACTTACTAGGCCAAGCAGTTCTATAAATTCACAGGGTAACACTTTAGAATAAAAATTTTCAAGCTTTTGGGGGCTCCTGGGTGACTCAGTTGGTTAAGCATCAGACTCTTGGTTTTGGCTCAGCTCATGATCTCACAGTTTGTGGGTTTGAGCTCCACACCAGGCTCTGTGCTGACAGTGCAGAGTCTGCTTGGGATTCTCTCTCTCCCTCTTTCTCTGCCCCTCCCCTGCTTGCTTGCTCACTCTCTCTCTCTCATAATAAATAAATAAACAAACTTAAGATATTTTTTTCAAGCTTTTACAACTCTGTTTCATACCATTCAATCAATATTCCCCTTATCCTTTGAGAGTGAATGGCAGATTTTCCATGCTATGAAGATGAGACAAGCAACTGTGAGTAGTATCTTTCTTTACACCTGAGGGAAGAGAGGTGCCAGGGTGAAGCAGGATTAGGCAATGACACCCATAATGATGAGGAAACAAGTAACATTTCAAAGCTTCTAGTAATATACCAAGTGCTCTTGGCATGTAGTATCTTACTTATTCTTCTGACCAATTCTATAGGTAGATATTTCTATCCCATTTTATAGATGAGGAAACTGAGGCCCAAACCCAGAGAGTTAGATTCAGAAGAAAGGGTGGGCAAGGAAAAAGTTATGATATGGGAAGGGGAGCAACTGTTAGACCAGACCTATTGGTCTATGTGTCTCTAAGCAACACATTGTGTGGTGCCTATTGCATCAGGATCGGTACTTAATATTTACTGGGGAAAAAAATCCCTCAGCTCCTTATCTTCAGGGTTCTTTACAGAATCCTCAATTTATGACAGTCTATCCCAGATATTTGCATTTAAATCAGCCCACGTGGGGTGAGGCTGGTGGGAGTGTGGTGCGTGCAAACCTAAACCTTGCCACTCAAAGCATGGTCTACCAAGCAGTGGTCGTGGAACCTGAATTTGTCAGACATGTGTAATCTCTGGCCCCTCCTCACACACACTGGCTCAGGACCTGCATTTTCACAAGATCCCAAGGCTCTGCATACACATGGAAGTCTGAGAAGCAGTGCTCTGAGAGTTTCTTAAGAAGAAAGATTTGTCTTAGGCTGTGTGGAGGCCCAATGCCAAACCTATGGGCCCTGAAACAGGTCTTCAGCTCAGTTCTGTTCACGAAAGTGGCTCAAAGAATATTGGCTGATGGCAGAGGCTATCTAGGGACTCTTGGAAATTCAGGTGTGAGATCAGAGAACTTCGGCCCTGCCAACTTTCTTTTTCTTGCTCTATTCCTACTTCTACCTACACCCAACTCCATCATATTGTAAAGTTCCAAGGTGGGATCTGTTGGAGGACTTCTAGAGGAATCTTCTAAGCAGAGAACAGCTGAGCTCCAGCTGCCACTATCAGCTTCCAAGAAAAGACAAGAACCACGAAGACAAAAACAATGCTACATTTGGGAAGTAAGGGCAGGAGGATGGTGAGAGGAGATGGTTTCTCCTCATGCTTTTTATAGAAGTGCATTTTTGCTTCAAGAACTGACAGGGTTCTTAGAAAGGGTGTAGCCCAACCTCCTTGTTTTACCTGTGAGGGAACCAAAAGTTTTCACCGCAACCACACAGCTATTGGCAAGGGCAGAGTCCGGGGTCACGTGTGGCTCTTCAGTTTCCAGACCCAGTCCCGCTCCACACCACATGGGACGCGAGGGTGGTTATACTACTCATCATCATTTCCAGCCCCTTCTAGCAAGCCTTCCTTCACACCTTCACCTGCACCTCCTTCAGAAGTAAGAGAGCTCCTCTCCAGACACTCCTATAGTTGGGTTCTGGATACAATTGGGGTTACTTGGAGTAGATGTGCTCCCAGGATGTCTGAAAGTGGAAGTTAGCACAGAGCACATTTCTACTCTTTCTGTTGGCAAACCTGGGGATGGAGGTAAGATGCTACAGCACAGCCACGTGGGAGTCAAGAGGCGAAGGACACTTGCCCTTGCCAGTGCAGATGGAGGACAAGAGGTGTGGTTCTGGGGAAACAGTTGAGACCACGAGGTTTTCTGATCCCTGACCCGCATCAAAGATACCCCAGAAGGCAACTTCTCGATTCCCAACCTTTCTGACAATGGTGAGGCAACAAACAGCTCCTGGAAGGCGATTCCTCCTACCTTTCTGATAATTTGGTAAGCACATAACTCACATAACATTAAATCCTTTTGTGCTTCAAGTGCCCAGGGCACTTCTATTTTCTGCTGCTGATACATTTCACTCTCCTAAGTGTGAGCCATATATTCACAATTAATCATGGTCAGGAGGAGCTCTGTGAAGACCCATTTTTCTCCTTTTCTCTCTGAATATGAATGCACATTATTTGAAACACAAACATTTTTCACAATGTATTCTTATTTTAGAATTTATATTATGTCATCACCTGAACTTCCTGGAACTGTAGGATACTGGAATACAAACATTGTCACATCTCAAAACTTTAGGCATCAGGAGAAATACCAGATGTTTCATTCAGTTTGAAATTAGGGTGCCTGGCGAAAGAACAAACACACCTGACTCAAGAAGAGTTACTGGAGGATAGAACACTTAATTTTTTTCTTCTTAATATTTGTATGAGATATTTCTAATTTTTTTAAAAATGTTTATTTATTTCTGAGAGAAAGAGAGCACAGGCAGAGGCAGGGCAGAGGGAGAGGGAGACACAGAATCCGAAGCAGGCTCCAGGCTCTGAGCTGTCAGCACAGAGCCTGACGTGGGGCTCGAACTCACATACTGCAAGATCATGACCTGAGCCGGTGGGACGGTCAACTGACTGAGCCACACAGGTGCACCATGAGATATTTCTAATGCTGAGTGCTTTCTTGCTTTGTCACAGTATAGCATGCATTTATTCATATGGCACATTTGGCCCAGAAAGTGGTTTGTATTAAAGTCCATGTAATGGTTTGAAGTTAATCATTTAGAGAAAAAATTTATTCCAAAATTCTAGCTTATTTTAATAATAATGATAATAGTAAGAGCAACAACGACTGCTATTTACTGACATCTTCCTATGCTCCAGTCACTGTGCTAAAACGCCTTTTATCTCATGCATTGGATGTTTCCATAGGGTAGATGTTATTGTTCCCATTTTACAACTGATGACACTGAGATTGAACACCTTCATGGTCACACAACTGGTAACTGACAAATCTAGCATTTGAAAACCTAGACCTTTTTGACTCCCAAGTTCATAACCATTCCAACTTTGTCTCCCAAAATAGCACCTGCTGGAGAGAATAGGGTTTCACGGAGTTTTGAGAAGTTCAGGCTGTGGGCTGCAAATTCTAATGTAACTAAAGGGTGTTAAGGGGATGGATTTTTTTTTTTCTTTTGAATCTTATTTCTTTTCCTGATGAAAATTTGGGTCATGTAAAATTTTTATATATGTCCAAATTCATGGAGTTCTAGGGGGAAGGAGCCGGTAACGCATACCCACAAGAAAATAAATTAGACCAAAGTAGAAGGACAGGAAAATTTCCTTTTTGTTTCTCTCTTGACTACCTGAGGATTCTGGGCCATTCACATTTTTGCAGTTTCAAGAGGACCTGACACTAGGTGAATCTCACTCTTGGCGTGGAAAGAACTCACACGCAGAGGGGTGTATGGTACAAACTCATTAGTCATCAAGAAAACCTCTTCTTCACCTGCACCCACAGAATGGCTCTGTGCACATTCCTGCAACATCCCTCGTTTCCAGTGCTGTGCTAAGAAACACGTCAGACGGACTCTCCCTTGTCTATTCAAATGATCTTTCCTGTTTGCTTGACGCTTTTGACAAAAAAGGATGGGAGGCAAAACTCTGCCACCCACAGCAAAGTGCTTCATTCACCTGGGCATTGGAGTCAATACCTTGGCAGCCTAGTGCTGGAAGGGGCTGGGTTCAATTTTGAATGTTGTCCAGTACTCAAGCCACCCAGAGGCTGACTTCCCTCCCCAGGTTACGAACGTCCCGGAGGGATCAGGGGTCAGGAGTTCTCGTTGCATCATCCGCTTTTTGCAAGAACGGCTGACACCAATGGCGATTTCCCCGTGCACAGACTGGTGGCCCCCCGAGAGGATGGGGCCCCCAGAAGCTCCACTTCCATCTGGACCTTGCGCTCCCAATCAAACACAACCCACTTGGCGGGCGGTGCAGAAACCAGCTAATGGCAGCTCTCGTTGACCCTTCAGACTCGACCTTTCTCCTGTAATCTCTAATCTTGTTTTTAATAAATGTTTAACTTCTGGATTAATTTCCATGATTTCTGAGGGTAATTTTTCACAACTCAGATAATGCGTTCTACGTGCTTGCTGAGCTGTTGCTGCACTCAACACTGTAAACACTTCAGACTGCCGTTGTCTTCCTAATACTCTCCCTTATTATGTGGGCTTGCGTCGTCAATGAAATTTCGTCTTTATTCTTTCTGCCATCTGTGTAATCGCCAGAGTTTAGAAATGCTTGCTCCTTCCTTTCTTTGCCTCTGGGAGAAGAATTGTTTGTTCAACCTTCACTAAATTAGTATTTTTCTGGCTTCTTATCTCTCATTTCTTGAGCAGTGGTATATAATTAACTCTGAAATTTTAATGTTTTTCACTTTCCTGCCTTTTTTTTTGGCAATTCACCTGCTTTCTACTTTCTTCCTCTCCATCTGCTGATCCCAGGGAGGGGTACTTCTCGCCCACATCATTATTCTATTTGTTTTTTAAAAGGCTCTGTGGTTTGTTGGAAGAAGAAAATGTTATCTGCTGCCACAGAGCCTGACTGGTCTCCTTTGTCATTTTGCCCGAGTTCCTTGGGTCACGTCTCCTATCCTCTGTACGTGGCCATGGGACTCGGAGGCGCCGCGTAATGCCATAATGGAACCACATTTAAAAGCCGGACGGATTCCTCAGAGTACTGCTGCTCTAATATGCTCCCATTACCGGCGTGTGTCGATATGTGCCCGAGACAGCAAAACTGCTGGGAGGGTATCTGAAAACAACGGAGAACATCAGGATGATGTGGATCTTGGCAGATTTTTTCCAGTGTTTCATTTTGCCTCCTGCCATACCACAAGCAGCCTTATTTTATTTTTTGTTTTGTTTTGCTCTTTATTATGTTGCCTTTTCTTATAATAGCAAGTGATTTAAACAAGAAGTCCTGTGATATGATTTTCCAATCACTTATATACAGCTTTTAAAACACAAGCTGAAGAATGCTGCGCATACAGTCATACATTTTATTATTGTTTTTCTTTTAAGCTTGTAACTTGAAAATTATTCTAGGGGCACCTGGGTGGCTCAGTCGGTTGAGCGGCCGTCTTCAGCTCAGGTCATGATCTCGTGGCTTGAGAGTTCGAGCCCCGCATCAGGCTCGCTGCTGTCAGTGATGGAGCCCACTTGGGATCCTCTGTCCCCCTCTCTCTGCCCCTCCCCAGCTCGTGCTCTCTCTCTCTCTCTCAAAAACAAATAAATATTAAAAAGAAAATTATTCCAGTCTTTCCCTCTTTTTTAAAATTTACAATATTGTTTACATTTGCATTACTATTTTCACATACTAACATACAGAGATCATGTGTCCATGCTTATAAATATCACTTTTCATGTGATTTTTAAGAGGTCGAATTTGCCTTTTTTAGGACCTGTCTTAGGTGTCAGTGACCATCCTGTGTCCTCCGAGGACCATGCAGTTACTGGGTGCTCCACCAACATTTGAGGACTGGATGTGAATTGAATCAATGCATTCAATGGAAAAAGTCAAATGGTAGATTGCAGTGGTCTGAGGGGGATATGAAGAAACCAGATTCTGAGCATCTAAAGGTATCCCACATTTTTTTAGTTTCCTGTTTTTCTTGTTGTTTAATTTCTTTAGAACAAGGAGAACATTTTCGAACCTCTAATCAGTGGTGATGAGTGTCCTAGTCAGACCAGAGAAGATGGGAAGCTGGTTCTCAGGATCAGCATTGGCATGTGATTTGGGTATTTATCTCTCTGAGATGATTTATGTCTGGACCTACCTGGAAGTCTGCAGGTTGGACCACATGTTCTCTTGAGGTCTTTGCCAAGCCAATATTTTTCGAATTCCTTGGTAAAATGTTAGAATTACCAACTCACACTTGCTTTAGATAAAACTCGGCAGACAGCGGAGATATGAAGGGAAGTTACCCTGCATGACCCTAAAAGCTTACAATTTGCCTTTCTTCTACAAGTGGATAAGATCAACCCTTTAGTATCATGGTATTTTAATTGCTCTGAGATAATAATTTTTGAAGTGTGAGTCAGATCCTATCATTTCCCAGTTGTAATGCTCCAATGTCTTCTTTTGCAAATGGGATAAAATCTAAACCCTTTACTGTGGCTCTGCATTGCTCTCCACCACCCAGGACTCTGTTCATGCTGGTCTGTGTTTTACTCATCTTCAGTGGCACCCGAGGGTTCCTAGCAGTTGCTCTCTTCTAGGGAATATGCCTTAAATTCCCCTGGATCGATGTTCGAAAATATGATTCCCACCTGCCCTTCCTCTCCTCCACCTTCTGAAATGAAACTTCTCTGGGAGTGAAGCCCTGGGGTAGGTATAATATTTTGAAGCTTCCAGTAGATTCTGATACACACCCACATTTGGGAGCTACTGCCTCACAGGGAAGCCTCTGGACCTGGCTGCTGCCCCCACATGGCTGGAACCATTTTCCTTATCATTCAGGGATGTTGTTAACTAGCCTAACTCTTCAAAATCCGGGCCAAGGAAAAGAAGGCACGGAGACAGAATTTCCCTTTCCCATCTACCCGGGGCCCTGCCATTTGACCTCCTGCTTCCAGTCTAAGGTGCAAGCCCCACTGCTCTAAGAGAGCCAAGCTCCATGACCTTCTCTCCTACCCTCGGCCCTGCCTGCAGAGGTGATCACATAGAACTTCTGAGTGATCCTGGTGTCCCTCACCATCCCTGACACAGAAGGTGAATCCTCTAGGATCTCCTGAGGAACATGACCTCTGGAAGCTTTGGGGTGCTCGCATCACCACCCCAGCACCCACTGCTCAGACTTTTGTTCTTCGGTGGAAATTCACTATTCAAAGGTAAACGATTCAGTGGCGTTTAGTACAATCATAATGTTGTGTGACCATCACCTCCATCTAGTTCCAAAACATTGTCATTGCCCCCAAAGAAACCCCATAACCCTAAGCAGCCACACCCCACCCCTCTCCCCACAGCCCCCGGCAACCACCATCTGATTTCTGTCTCTATGGATTTACCCATTCTGGACATTTGGGCAGGGAATGCAGGACTTGCTCCGGCCCAGCTTAGACACTGCCCTTGCAGGAGACCAGCGCCAGCCACTCTTCCAGTTTACTTTACCCTGAACCAGTAAGCTGTGGCTGGTGGGGGACTGGGCTGAGGCCGGGTCACAGGGCCTCCTAGGCAGGAGGGGCTGTTGACTGTGTAACTTCTCTCGGAAGCAAGTGTGAGAAAGCATGCCAATATGATATCCTTAGAACAACACTTGAAAATAATTTGCCGAAGTCTGCTTTGCTAGAGAGAGAACTGAGAAACCAAAGAGCCTGAGTAGAGAAAAAATGAAGAATAGGAACACCGAGGAGACAAGTTTTACAGCTCAGTGGTTTTCCAAGTGGCTGAACCGGGTGGTTCACAAGACTTGGCTGTAACAGAGGTACCTACACTTTGGTATATAACAGACTTTCCTGTGTAGTGGCTTAAAAATACAGATTTCCTGGATTCAGCTTCCTTGGATGGGGCAGAAGGTCTGCTGGGAATCTATATTTTAAAAATATGCTCCTTTGATGATTGGTGATGCACACCAGAATTTGAGGAAAACTACCCTATGGGAATTTTCAGTAACAGGAGATTTAAAAGAATGGAGAATCAAGCCTTTACCCTGGTGCAAAAGTTCCTTCTCAACTGCCTGACATCTGTTCTGGTTCTGGGGTGTAATTACAGCAAATGAGAAATTACAATGCAGTTTGAAGCTTAATAATCATAATGGTAATGATAATAATTATGATATAATAAAAAGGCAGTCAGGTGCTAGGAATGGAAAGGGATACAGCCATGTAAAAGAAGAAAGGAATCCAAATTCTAATTAGGAACTTTCAAAGAGGACTTCTGAGCCAACAGGGAATAACAGAGAATAACGGGGAATATACCTGGAAATACCTGGAAAAGGCTGGACAAAACAACAGGTGGTCAGACACAGCATTATATCAGTTTTTCCCTCTACATATACTAGCAATGAACTATCAGAGGTTGAATTAAAACAAAAAAACATGCTATTTATTATAACATCAAATTATAAAATAGGACTAAATATGACAAGATGAACAAATCAGGTAACCTGAAAACTACAAAACACTGCCGACAGAAATGAAAGAATAGCTAGATAAATCAAGACACATGCTGCTGTAATTGTGGGTCAAAATGTCAATCAAAATTCTTGGGGGATCTTGTGGGGTGCCTGGGTGGCTCAGTTGGTTAAGCATCCAACTTCAGCTCAGGTCATGACCTCATGGTTCACGGGTTCAAGCCCCACATCAGGCTCTGTGCTGACAGCTCAGAGCCTGGAGCCTGCTTCTCTCTCTCTGCCCATTCCCTGTTCACGCTATCTCTCTCTCTCTGTCTCTCAAAAAAAAAAAAAAAATTCTTGTGGGATTTTGTAGAAATTGATAAACTAAAATTCATATGGAATTGCAAGGACCTAGAATAGCCCAAACAGCTTTTAAAGAGAAGAACAAAGTTGGAAGACTAACACTACCTGACTTCGAGACTTATTTTAATGATACAATATTCAAAACATATGGTATTGCTACAAGACAGACAAACAGATCAATGGAACAGAATATAGAATGTTCCAGAAATGAGATGCACATATATACGGATAACTTTTTTCTCACAAAGTTGCAAAGGCAGTTCAGTGGAGAAGGGAAGGTACCAACCCACTGGATTTCCACATGCCAAAATTTCAACTTGGATCTGTACCTTGCACCAAAAAGAAAAATTAACTCAAAATGTAGTAGGCCTAAAGGCACACCTGAAATTGTAAAACATGTAGAAGAAAACATAGGAGACAATTTTGCAAGCTTAGGCTAGGCAAAGATTTTCTTAGATGGGACACCAAAACACAATCCATAAAAAACAAAACAAACAAACAAAAAAACCAAACTTGGTCAACAGAACTTCACCAAAATTAAAAACTTCAACCCTTCAAAAGATACTGTTAAGAGAATGGAAAGACAAACCACGGTCTGGGAGAAAATATTTGCAAATCATATATTTGAGAAAAACACTTGTATGCATAATATGTAAAGAACTTTCAAAATTCAGTAAGAACACAGCTAAATTTTAAAAATGAGCAAGAGATTTGAGCAGACACTTGGGAGAGGAAGACACATGTTGACAAATAAGCATATGAAAAGATAGATATTCAATATCATTATCATAATTGAAATGCAAGTTAAAATTACAATGAGATACCACTATTAAAATGACTACAATTGAGGGGCGCCCTGATGGCTCAGCCAGTTGAACATCTGACTCTTGATTTTGCCTCAGGTTGTGACCCCAGGATTGTGGGATCAAGCCCTGCGTCGGGCTCTGTGCTGAGCGTGAAGCCTGCTTAAGCTTCTCTCTCTCTCTCTCTCTCTCTCTCTCTTCTTGCCCCTCCCCCCTTCTCTCTCAAAAGAAAAAAAAAAAAAAAGAAGAAGCAAAATTGAAATGATTAACTATAGCAAGTGCTGGTGAGAATGCAGATCAACTGGAACTTTCCATACAATGCTGATGGCAATGTAAAATGGTACAATGGCTTGGAAAACAGTTTGGTGGCTTCTGGAAAAGAAACCATATAGCTATCATATGATACAGCCATTCTATTCCTATGTATTTTGCTGAGAGAAATGAAAACATATGCACATAAATTGTGTAGCATCTTTGTCTGTAACAACCCCAACCTGGAAACAGCCCACATTTCTCAACATCTGAATAGAGAGACAGTCTGTGGTATATCAATTCAATGGAATGCTATGGAACAATAAAAAAGGATCAATTATTGATACTGGAAACAACTTAGGCAAATGTCAAAGTAATCATGCTGTGTGAAAGAACAAGAGTACCTATCGTATGATTCTGTTTATGTGAAATCCTGGAAAATACAAATTATCGTGACAAAAAACAGACCAGTGTTTGCCTGAGTGTGTGGGGTCAAGGTGGGAGAGATTACAAAGGGATATGGGGCAATTTAGGAGAGCAACGGATATGTTTATTTAGTTTGATTGTGAGAATAATTAAACAGGTATATACATGTGTCAAACTTATCAAATTGTGTATTTTAAATGTGTTTGTTTTGTTAATTATATTTTAATAAAGCTACTTTTTAAAAAGGAAGATCTTGTAGACAAGCTCACTTCCTATGAGTCTTCAACAGCAGCTGGGAGAATAGGTCTAGAGCAGAGTCTGATGACAAAGCAGCCTTCGGTCACTTGGCTGGCCACATGCCACCTGGAACATCTCTCCCAGGGATCCAATCACTTCCAGCACCCACAGAGGCAAGAAAATGTTCCAAAATGTGGCTCTGGCTGTGTCTGGATTATAATTAAAGCTACAAATAACCCAAAATGAATTAAGTCTCCCCAGCTAACGTGTCACTCCTAATTTAATCTAATTGGCCTCTGAATGAGAGTCTCAGCCTGCCTCAGAGGCAAAATTTTCTAAATGAAGTGAATTTAAACTGCTAAGTAATTGCAAACTGGGGGCTTTATGGTTAGAACAATTGTTATTGTTCTTTGATTACTTGCTCAACTGGATTATTCACTCATTACCATTGGAACCACTGAGACTTTGAAGTGGGGCCCTTGTAGCACGTAAATAAAGCATTTTATGAGATAAACCAGAAGGGAGGGTCGCCCAAACCAGCTTGGCCTTGGGGAGCTGTTGATTATGTTGATTTTATGAGTGTTTGGAGAATCTTAAAGCATATTTCATGAACAAATGAACAGCCTGTACCACCCATTCAAATAACTGGTGGCTTACTACCCCTGCGTTTGGAGGCATCAATTTTTATTTAGCCCCAGGATCTAAGCAATGAGCTTTGAAGTCATCCCATTTAATCAAATTAACTTGCTGTTCAACAGTTTTGACCTTAAGATGCAACTGTCATACGGGTAGACCCCCTACAGCAGCCGTGGGGAGAAAAAAAAAAAAAAAAAAGATCTGTGTTCTAGACAATTTCTCATCCCCTGTGTTAATATGGACATGTTGCTGCACATCTCTGAACCCCAGGCATGGAAGTTCTGTGGGAAAAGTATCAGCTTTGCAGGAAGAACCCACCTGCTGTGACTGTTGCCCAGTTAACTTCTTCTTGCATGAATCATTGAACTTCTTTGGGCTTAAGTTCCCTCTTGAGCAGGAATGGCCACCTCGCGGAGCTGCTAGAGAGACTGAACATGACCAGTTATGTGAAACATTTCATACTTGTGAATGCTGTTATTTTCCTCATCTGTAACAAAGGAATTCAATCAGGGGATTTGAAGAGTCCCTGTGTTAGTTTCTGTAGCTGCCATCACAAGGTACCATGGCCTAGGTACCGACCGAAATGTATTTCCTCACATTTGTGGAGACTAAATCTGAAAATCAAGGTGTCAGCAGGGCTGCGGTTCCTTTAATGGCTCCAGGGGAGAACCTTTCCTGGAAGGAGTCAGCTCTGCATGCTCCTCAGTTTGGTGGCCACATCATTCCAGGTTTTGTCTCTCTCTTCATATCACCTTCTTCTCTGTATGTCTCAAATCTCTTTCCGCCTTTCTCCTGAAGGGGCACTTGTCCTTGCATTAGGGCCCACCTGGGTAATCCTGGGTGAACTCATCTCAACATCCTTAAATACATCTACAGAGAACCTTTTTCCAAATAAGGCCACATTCAGAGGTTCTGGGTGGACATATCTTTTGGAGGGAGCCACCATTCAACCCACTACAGTCCTCTTTAGTGCTATTGTCCTCATATTTTGGTCTGGATGTCAACATGTGGTCAAGCTTCAACAAGTTCAAGTTGTCTATTGAGTAGCATAAAAGCTATGATGAATTTTGACATTTTCATATTGTCTGAAAATACGTTTCTTCAACATAGCCATGTAAAAAATGCATCCAATAATTTGCTATGGTGGGAGGAGGGGCTATGTTGAGAACAAAAATTTATTGATGACAAATTTATGCAAACTGGACAAGGAAGTAAAACTTTCAAGCAGCCTGTGGCACCATAACAACAACAACAACAAAATGTATGGCCAGCAGGAGTTGTATTCAATTATTAAGGAAGTAGAAGGAGCAATTGTCAGCACTGAGCCAAGTTTGCCAGAATTGGTGCCTCTTGGTTAATAACTTTTGTATTTCTCCTTCAGCTGGTTGATGTCTACTAGTCTTAAAAGCTTCTGTGGAGGGGAGCCTGGGTGGCTCAGGCAGTTAAGCATCTGACTCCTGGTTTCATGACCCACGGTTCATGGGTTCAAGCCCCGCATTGGGCTCTGTGCTGACAGTGTGGGGCCTGCTTGGGATTCTTTCTCTCACTTCTCTCTTTGTCCCTCTCCCATGCTCGCTCGCTCTCTCTCTCTCTCTCTCTCAAAATAAATAAATAATGTTCTGAAAAAAAAGTTTCCGTTGAAAATAGAAAGAGGAAGATGTTGGAAAGAATGCTCATAATAGATAGTAACAGCTCACTGAACTTCCTTTGCAGATGGTCATTAGAATTATGCAAGTGTGGGATGTCCCCATGTTCTCTGATCCTCATTTTGGAGAGTGAGCCACTGGGGAAGTCTAAGGATATGGGATGTGTCATAAGAACCACAGTGGCCAGATTTAAATCAGGGCAAAATGGACATTAGATGAGTTCTCAAATGACCTGTTTTAAAGTATAGGATTGGATCCATAGCATGAGTCATAAAAGTGGCTGGATTTCATATTCCCTCCACCCTGTGGATGAATAAGGTCAGGATAGACTCTTCTTTCCTCCCTTCCTCTGGATCCCCCTAGACATGGATACTGGGAAATTGCTGGATTGGTGACCACCCTGATATGTCCTCTCTGTACTTCCTATATCTCCTGGACCACCGCCCATGCTGTCCCAGTTAATGATTCAGTCTCAGAATATCAACTCGTCATTACTTGGCTGGCAGAAGAACTCAACTTCTCTGATCTCCATTCCAAGAAGGTGGTTACGTGCACAACGAGTCTATGTTTTCTGAGGGCTCTGGAGGTGGGTAGCCTAGACCTTAGGGGGAAGAGAGCTCTGTCTCTGAGGGCTGTGCTCTTGGGACTCGTGCTGCATGTTTCTAGTTTTGCATCTCCAGCTCTATTCTCCATCCTTCCCCAGATGCTATAGGCCTTGGGAAGCTGAACTATAATACAGCATCAAGGATTCCCTTGCTCTCTGGCTTCCAGTTGGGTTCAGCCAATGTAGTGTCACAGAGAGAGGGAGGAAAGTAATGTTGGGGCATTTTATTCATGTTCCTTCAGGGTCACTGTCATCCTTCCACCCCTGGTCTCAGCTCCTGACTGGCAGCCTCCTCCACCCTGCCCTCTTTGTGGTAAGGAGGTCCTGGTAACCTTCAGGCCTAGGAATAGTAATGAAGTCCTTCCAGTCCTTACTTGCCCTAGAGTATTGCATCCTCTCTTGTGTCTTACTTTTCCCCTGCACAAAGCCTTGTCAAGACTCCCTTTATGTAATTCTTCTGAAATCACCCTGAGTTGAGTGTGCCATCTTTCTCCATAGAGATCTGAACTGATGCAGCCCCTTCATTTATAAAAATTAAATAAAATAATATCCATCTCATAATGTCTTCAGGATTAAATCGGGTAACACACGAAAATCACTCAGCATAATAATGAGCACATAGTTCTCTGCTCAGTAAATGACAGCCCAAGACATATTTCAGAGTGGAGTTGGTATGGCACTCTGATTAATAGTATGGAGCATCAATTCAATTCAGTTCAGTCCTACCAAGATTTACTAAGCTCCCACTAGGTACAAGGCAGTTTCATGATCATTTCAAGGTTTTGGAAACATCACTTTGGATGCCACACAGGGAATAGGGTAGATAGAAGAAGACCAGTTAGGGGTTTTTGCCATAGCCTGTATGAAAGATGGTAGCTTGGGCTGGACTGGCACCAGAGAAGCTGAAGAGAACTGGACCAATCCAAAAGGCATGATGAAGATAAAATGAATAAGAAAATTGAGGGTGGATTGAATATGGAGAATGAGGGAGGAGGGTATCAAAGAAGAAACTTAGGTTTCTGTTTGTTGGTCATGTCATCATCCAAGAGATAAAATATTGGGCTGAAGATCTGGTTTGGTGTGGAGGGGGTGGGAAGACCATGAGTACAGTCTTGGGTTTGATCAAGGTAGGCATCTAGGTAGGGAAGTCAAGACGCAGTTGGAGCTGATGACACCAAATGCTGACAAGATGTGAAACCATAGGAACTCTCATGTGTAGCTAGTGGGAATGCAAAATGGCACAGCCACTTTGGAGGGCAGTTTGGTGATTTCTCACAAAACTATACATACTCTTACCCTGTAATTTAGCATTTACACTCCTTGGTATTTATTCAAAGGAGTTGAAAACTTAGGTCCACCCAAAAATCTGCACAAGGACATTTATGGCAACTTTATTCATAATTGCCAAAACTTGGAAGCAATCAACGTGTCCTTTAGTAGGTGAATGGATAAATAAACTGTGCTACTTCCTGACAATGCAATATTATTTGGCACTAAAAAGAAAAGAGCTATCAAGCCATGAAAAGAAATGGAGGAAGCTTAGATGAATATTACTAAGTAAAGAAGCCAATCTGATATGGCTACATACATATGACTCCAATTATATGGCATTCTGGAAAAGGCAAAACTGTGGAGACAGTAAAAGAGATCGGTTGCTATCAGGGATCAATTGTTGGGGGGAGGGATGAATAGGCAGAACACAGAGGATTTTTAGGGCAGTGATAATTCTCTATGTGATACTGTAATGATGGATATATGTCATTATTCATTTGTCCAAACCATGAGATGTACAATACCAAAAATGAACCCTAAGGTAAACTAAGGACTTTGAGTGATTATGATGTGTATATGTAGGTACATCCTTGGTAACAAATGTACTGTTCTGGTGAGTGATGCTGATAATGGGATAGGCTATGCACGTGTGGGGAATAGGGTATATGGGAAATTTCTATACCTTCCTGTCAATTTTGTTGTGATCTTAACACAGCTCTAAGATATAGGCTTAGCAAAACAGGGGAGAAATTGGATATATGGATCTGGAGCTCTAAGGGGAGATGTAAGATGGAGACTGGATTTAGAAGCCATAAAAAAACAGATGGTAATTAAGATCATGAGCTAGCCTTGGGAGACCACCCACTGAGAGGGTCCATGAAGAACTCGAGAGGTAACAGGAAAAGCAGGGGAGGGTGTGACAAACTCCGAAAGTTGCAAGAAAAAGGGTGTATGTTGGGTATGTGTTCCTAAGAAGTCAAGAGGAGAACTGAAAATTATCTGTTAAGTTTAGTAACATGGAAGTCATCAGTGACATGACCCTGGCAAGAGTTCTTTCAATGGGCGAATAGAAGTGAAAGTAACCTTTTTTCCATTTTCTCAAGAGATTTGACCGTGCAACTGTAGCTGGAGAGGAGTAAGGGGGTTAAGAGAAGGATTGTGAAGCGTGCCTGGCTGGTTCAGTCCATAGAACATATGACTCTTGATCTTGGGTTGTGAGTTTGAGCTCCATGCTGGATGTAGAGATTACTAAAGAAAAAGAGAGAGAAAGAGAGAGAGAGAGAGAGAGAGAGAGAGAGAGAGAAGGATTTTGGTTTCCTTTTAAGATGTGAAGGATTTGAACATATTTAACTGATAATGAGATGGATCCATCTGAGAGGAGGTAGGTGAATATGCAAGAAGGAGAAAGGGGAGGTGGGGCAGAGTTTACTGAGAAGGTCAGTGGATGGGCTCCAAAACTCAGATGTAGAAGTGGCTTTACAAAGAGGGAAGGAGAACTGGTTGCAGAAGATGTAGTTAGATTTCTAGCTGAGGCAGGAGAAGTTAAAGAATTGGTTGGGGCAGATATAGTTAGATTTCTAGCTGAGGCTTTTAGTAAATCAGTGAAGGACGAGGTGAGTGGCTGGAAGTTTTAGAATAGGTGAGTGAACTGGGTGGAGACATGTCCAACAGTGTTGAGAGAAAAGTGTCGCCTTATGAATTTATGGTGAACTCCAGGTATCCAGTTGGTGTGACCTCCAGCAGTGCCCAGTGGGGAGAGCAGATGGTTGAGCGTATCTAGGGGGAGGTGATGGAAGACAGGAAGGTAAGGTGTTGAGCATATTGCCAAGAAGGACGCTGAATTGATGCCTTTTGGGATCTACGCTGGAAAAGGAAGGCTGGAACAAAGAACTGGATTAGGAAAAAA